ATATAAATATATTATATTATATTATATTATATTATATTATATTATATTATATTATATTATATTATATTATAGTATATTATATTATACTATAGTATATTATACTATACTATAGTATATTATACTATATTATATTATATTATATTATATTATATTATATTATATTATATTATATTATATTATATTATATTATATATATATGCCTATGTAACATGCTGTTCCAATCCTCTTTCCCGCCTACCGACCTGTAGGTTCTCCAGCAAATCTGCCAGACGTGGTTTCTGAACGCAGAGAAGTGGAAATGGGATTGGAGAACCTATGAGAACCTCCTATCCATTTAACCCACCCGCCTGCGACCTTCGTTCCAGCGAAATCAAGGAGTCGAAGCGCCCTGCAGAGTTCGTTTTCATTTAGCATGCTTTTGCTTGCATCCGACCGGGGGCGATGATCTCAGAATTGATGCGTGGTTGGGTACCTACGAGTGATTAAGTGCTTGTTACATGCATGTGTAATGCATACATGCATGCATGCCCTGGTATGCATGCGACAATCTCGGGGGGAGGGTTCAGAAGGACAGCTGCAAGCAGGTTACAAGCGCAGCAAGTCCAACTGCTACGCCAATTGCACCCTTCTCAAGATCGATGGCGTTCGAACCAAGGCGGTCCAGACGATTGTGGCTCGCGTTTGTTATGTGCCAATGGCAACTGACACGCCAGGAAGACACGCAGTTCTACATCGGCAAGCGCGTCGCTTATGTGTACAAGGCACTATAGCTGCAGCTGTTTACAGCCCGTGGAAGCTTGGACCAACAAAGGGCAAAAGCCAAAGCACGTGCACTACATACATAGCATCCGAGATGTTTTTGTGCCCTCTGGCACTAGGTGAAGAAGGAGGTGAAGCACAGCAAGTTTCGAGTGATGTGGGGCAAGGCACAGTTCAGCGACTGCTCACCTGCAGCTATTGGGGCCTAGCCTAGCCACGTAGACCTGCAATCGCATGATACAAAAGCACGCAGCAGTTGCGAATTTTGTGAAAGCAGAGCTGTGGGACAGGAACCCCTTAAATCGAGAGTCAGCACCGAACTTAGAACACCAGTACCAGAATCATGATGAACGCAGACAGCCAGGTTGGAGAGTTTACTATCATAAGTTGCGGTTTCGAAGCCTTGGCTGCGCCCAAACAGATTGGCTGTTTTGTTGGGATGGAGCGTCTGAGATACACAGACATGCCTGAAATCAGATTCGCCGCTCTCACGGCAACTCGGGCGCTGTGCGCGCCAAGTTTGTGAAGAACATCCCCCCAAAGGCCGGACCGAGCAGAGCCAGTAGGACTTAATCATGAGAAGAGGTTTCTACACAAGGGTTTAATGTTGCTATCAGGTATTATGAGGGTGCTACAGCTGGGTGCGCTGTCCCTTCCATGGTGCACTCAGAAGCGGCCGGTGTCAACAGTCCAGCCGTGGCTGTTGTTGCTGGCAGGCGTTTGGTGCTCCGTGCCGCGTGATGCTTTACCCGAGCCTCTGGACCGCAATCATGACCCGAACTGTTAGACAATTCTTGAAGCTTCAGCCTGTTGGGCACATGGGATTCCGCAGACATGGAGCGGATGCTGACAGTCTAAGGCAGCATCTGAAGCTGGCCTGTTCTGGAACTGCCGATATGACATCCTGCCACTGCGAGAGAAAGAAGGGACGGGCCTTTGTCCAGCGGATGTCCAAGGAAACCTGCGGACATTGGTCCCAGGCAACCTCTTTGAAAGCAGCCTGGCTGCGCACGTCATCGGTTTGACAGCGAACGCGGCAGAGACATTCATTCGGCTCAAGCTAGCGGTCGTTCACTTCATAAGCCAGCCTGTACCGACCCTTAGAACTGCCTTCCATGAATGCCTTGCCTTCACCGCGTTACCATGCATACCATGCGTAGCCAGAGCGCAGCTCGATTCCGAGAGCAATGGGAGCACCTGGCAGCGGTCTTCCGTGGCGAAGCTCGCCACACTCTCAAAGGTCGCGGCTTTGATGCATTGTCTGTTCTGCCAGGAAGCTGGGCGGCTTCAGCCACTGGCATGAACCAAATGTGTGCACATCAGCGGGTACCAGCACAGGCTTCGCGTGAGCTTCTGGTCCACCCTTGATGCATTTGTTTTCGTATTTTGTGCAGAAGTGTAACAGTGATACAGCACATTGTCCTTAGCAGCTGCGTGGTAACGCATGTCTACACGGAACTTCGATTATACACCACGATGCCTGCACTAATTTGCAAGATGCCGGTCGGGAGTGTTGCAGTTGTGTAGCAGTGTTCTGTGAAGCATTACAGCTTCTGATCTCGGCCCCCATTCGTGTAGTGTTGAAAGTTTACAACGAATGCACGAATTGGAGGCGAGATCAGAAGCTCACGCGAAGCTGCTGGTTATAAGTCTTTGTGCAAAGCAGCGATACTGATACAGCGCATTAAATGTCGGGGGGATCGTTGTTCAATCTGCGACCGGCAGGGCCAATGAACCCTACACGGCCTATACGGGTACGGCGGTTGGATTTCAGAGGCGAAGCCCGCTGTTGCCGCAAGCCTTGGCAGACCTGAGAAAACAGTTGGCAGTCGTGCACCTGAAACGGACGTATGTTGCGGCTTTGTGAGAAGACATTGATCGGAGATGGATGCGCCACGCAATCGGAGGATAGGTTGAGACCGGTTATTGGACGGGCATGGAGCCTTTCGGCTCAACACAGCCGTGACTTCGCCTGGGGTAGGGCTGAGGCATGACAGCACTGATTAGACCACCACTGTAGCAGCTAGCGTGCTATTCTGAAGTTTCTTTCAACAGTCCGAAGAAGATCGCCAGCGCAAGAATCACCGTCATCTACAGACATGGACTTTCGAGTCCAGGCCGTTCTGAGCGCCGTGTGGCCGACTGCACGTCGGCCCTTGGCACCTGTTGTGGTGCTGGGCATCGACATCCTCGATGCCTTAGGCATGACCTCCAGCGAGGAGGCTTCGCCACCACTCGTGTTCGAGCCAGAGCCAGGTGTTGTTCAAGAGCTGCGTGAAGCGGTGATGATACGGACCCCTCCGGTCGAGTACGAGGATATTGGGAGATTCTGGGAGGTAGGCATACGTCATGACTCGTCGCCGCGACGGCAAGAGTTGGGTCGTCGGTGGAGCAGGGAGAGAGGACTTCCAGGCCTGCGCTGCGACCCTTTCAGCAGCTGGGGCCACTTCATCGACACGGTTGGCGTCAGTTGTCACTTGAGAGACTTGCCATGCTGGCGCTACAGTGCATATAAAGTTGACTTCGAAAAACAGCCGGCTGCCTGCAATCTGTTCCTTCTCGTGGCCCCTCGTCTGCAGCTTTGTCTGTGACTGGTGGCAAATGCTTGATTTTCGAGTTCTCGGATCCCTGACCTCCAGGCAGTCGACATTATGAATGAAGCATTTGGCCCGCCCGGCGTCCCTTCGCCCGTTTGTCTCGCACAGGTGGCCAGGGCCTCAGGAGAAGCAACCTGTGTCAAAGAGGCAGTTGGGTTTCTCGAAGCCTGCTTCCTAGGCCGTCACTGGTTCTGTGCACCTTGGCAACACTTTTCTTCGGCGGCCTGACATGCGCCTTTTGACGTCCTCGAGCTCAGGATCTTTCACAGCATCGCCGCGGCTGCCCTAGCGGCCTTCTCCATCGGCCAACTGGACGCAGTGGATTTTCGGGGAAGGACTCAATAGGTTGACTTTGGAGCAACTAAGATTTGGAGCGACTTGGAGGGTATTGAGTGATCTAACCAAAGAGACTTGCAAGACTTTGCGACCCAGGAATGGCCAGTCGCCTGCCCGAGAAGCAGTCGCGCAAGCCCATGCAGCTAGCTTCTGCTGCTCTGGCGTGCCCCGATGAAACCATGCGTTTTAGTTGGTGATGTTGCGGGGTCGGCTTGGCCGGCATGTCCGTCCAGGCTGAAATCCGAGTTGGGTTGGGCTTCATTGATCACGACTTACACATGCTCTTCATTACTTTTCCATGAGCTGTTTCCTGCAGGTGCTTAGGCCAGCTTTTCCTTTTTCCCTGCAGTTTGTAGTCGTAGCATGGCTCGCTCGCCCTTGCTTCTTCGCCATGAGCCAGAAGCAGATAGTGGGAAATGTTAAGCCGAGACTCCCCGACAGCAGGCTTGCTGGAGGAACAGCAGATGCGGTAAGGTTTGACGAGCCCTTTTTCCGGAGCTGTAATCACTCAATGAGTCGTTGGTTTGGTAGCTGTGTTCCATAAATTGAAAGGGCAGATTGCGTGCTTGTCTCAGGCTGGGCACGCTACGGGAGATGGTCCTGGTAAACCTTAACAGATTCAGCTTCGTTGGGGAACCTTGGCTGCAAGTAAACGGGGTGTTTGTGTGCAGGCTTGGTTTCCTCCGAGTTGCACGTTTTAGAGGACTTCCACCGTCGCTATCCGAGGATCTAGCAGTGCAGCTCTTCAACTTTGCCCCGGATCCTGGTGCGGCAGTCGTCGCGACGCACTACCTGTCCGACGCGATAAGCATGCCGATAATCGTGTCCCTTGACTGTTTCGTGCCCTCCGCTTTTCATTGCTGCCTGTGGCGGTGCAAAGCTAAGGGCTTTCCTCGGAACGTTCTCTGGTGAATCCGGGCGGCATTCATGACTGTGTCCAGTTCGAGCCCTGCTACGTGAAGCGGGACGATAGCTTGAGATTGAGACTGTCCTGATATCGCGTAGATTGTTTGGGTGTTGTGCGGCAAGACTCGCATATGATCACAAGGAGCCACAAATTGTCCGGACAGCCCTTCACTGTGTGATGCCTGTGGCGATGTTTAACCTTCTGGCGGCGGGGTCGGCGCTCGTCGTGACTCCAGGACGCGAAGTGGCGCTGCTCCTGGGCTGCGCAGCATTTTTTTGGTCTTTGACAGAATCGCATGTATGGTCTGCCTTGTCTGCCTTGGCGCATGTTGATTGCATTTCTTCGGGGAGGGGGGGGGGGGGGGGTCCAAACTCGATCGCTGAAATGACATTATGACAATCTGTCTATTTGTACCTGTT